ACCAAACTATTGGCCAGCTATCGATTAGATGATTGCTTGATGATATTTGGTTTATATTTTTGATTTTGACCAGTGATAAGAGAGGCTATCTATAGAAAAGTACATACCAGTATAAAGTACCCAATAATAGGCATACCAAATTGGAAGGCTATAAAGGACCAATTCTTCAAATGAACAAATTTGGGAGTAACCAAAGTTTGACGGTGAGATATGGTAGATAACTAGAAATAGTCTGAATACCAAATCCAGGTATAACTCAATATATAGTGAGAACATAGCATACTCTGGTAGGTTTAGATCATAGATAAGATTGTTTAAGCTTGTATTCTTAAGATAGATATGTAGCTATATAAAGCAATACTTGACAATATCTAATAAAGATACAGGACAAGACCTCACTTTAATATCAAAAAAAATATATATATAAAAGTAAAAATTTAATATAAAAGATTTAGATTTTATAGCTTATTAGCTAACCTTTTAAATCCTATAGTTAAGGTTCATAGTTTGAGTAAAACTAGAAGCAAAAATGCTTTATAATTAAAAAGAAATCATTTATTGAATAGCAGAAACCTATAAAAGTTCATATATATTATAAATTTAGAAAAAAGAATTTTTAAAAAAAAACTTAATTGTAGAGTATAGTCACTATGTATAGTAGTAGCATTATAGAAGATTTGGTTAGCTACATAAATAAGTTCTTGTATAAAAAGTATAGATAGTACTAATATTTCTGTAGCCAACTTGTGAAGTACTTGCTTAGAAAAGTAATTTGATAATCAAATTGGAGTAATAAGTAAAACAGTAAATACAAAAACAGTCTGTAAAAAAGAATTAGTTTTATTATAATTAAGAGTTATTTAAAAGCAAGTTACATTAGAATTATTTTTTTGATATAGTTAGAGTTTTATTTTTAATACAGTAATAGTTAGTAGTTTATATAAATATCAAGAAGATAATTTATATAATATAGATTATTTTTAAGTTTATACCAAACATACCTTGCTTTAATCAATCTCCAAATTAGAAACACCTCTAATATCTGTACTACTACTAATTAAAAAAGAAACTATTTAGTATAAAGGTTAGCAGACAGCTTGATGTTTAAAATATGACAAATAATGGCAAGATTGCATCCAACTGGAAGTATTAATATGAAATATATCATGGAAATATCAACATTAGTAAACACTAAGAGAGTTATAATAACCTTAATTTAAAAGTAACTGTATTACAAAAAACTTAGTTGAAGGTTTTAATACCCACTTCTATAACACACCAATTTAGAAAGTATCTGTTATTAAAATCTGCATGTATATGATCAATATTGTATGAAACTTTAATACCAATATTAGAAGTAGCTATGAGATTACACTTACCTGGTGCCCCTTAATGAGATCTGTAATGGATACTGCATCATGTACCAAATTAGAAATACCTTGTTGTTAGTATAAGAAATGTGGTGAATATATAGGATGGAAAATAGATTAACAGTAATTTGTATACAAACCAGGTCAGATATAGATGGGATATATAAGACTCTAGTAGGTTTAGGCTGAGGATAAAAAGTTGTTCTAATACTTGTAGTTTAAAGTTAGGTTGTAAATATTATAGTGGCTATATACATATATAGTAATACTACTGAATAAAGACTCGAGGTACAAGACCTCACCTTAATACTGAAAAAAAAAATCTAAAAAAACTTTATCGGCCAGTTTTTAACGGTTTAACAACCCTAATAACAACTGTTATACGGCCCATATTTACTATGAAAAAGAAAATAATAACAATTTTAGGAAAGCAGATAATACTAAATCAAGTATCTAGAGAATAACACATCAATCAAGCATGTAAATATTAATCACATGGTTTAAAAAAGGTAAGCCTTAAACCAAGAAATGTCCCTATAATTATGTCTACGCGTAATAACGTACATGGGCATTATTACGCACAAATACGGTAATTCTTTTCCTATGTCTTGAATTCTATTGGTGATATTTAAACCTCCCAATCAGCTTTCTTAGTCATATAAAAAAAGGTGTATGTACAGTAAATTTAAAGTAATTTTAAGGTCACCTCACATTTCGCGCGCGCAAATTCATATATGTGAAACGTAGGCTAGTCTGTCTCGCGTGGGAAACATCTCTAGCATACACATTGATAAACTTGTATATTACACACTTAGCGTTAGTGGGAGACATCTCTAGCATACACATTGATAAACTTGTATATTACATACTTAGCGTTAGTAGATTAGTATATTCATAATTTCACCGCATTAAAAAAAAAAGATCATGCACACAATATTTGATATTCACAGCATAGAACTTGCTTTTTATTAAACGTTAAAAAAAAAACGATCGATAAACTTTTTAAATATAATCTACCTGAGAGAATAAAAAAATCATTCACCGAAAACGTTAAAAAAAAAAAGTAAGACTACGACAATGAAAATTCCCAAACTTCTAACCTACATAATCTAGAAATGAAATTGACATTTCCAAGAAGCATCTAAACTTTTAGGACATAAAGTTATAAAAATACAAAAATGAATACAGTACAAATTACAAAAAATATTAAGATAAAGAATGATATTAATTTTAATAATTTTAATCGAAGACCCAGGAGAGAGGAGAAATATATCGAGGTCTTGTATTACGAACGCAGAGTAAATACGTTAGAATGAAAAAGTCTGAGGCCTCGCATCGTGAGCGTAGAGGAAATACGTTAGAGTGGAAGAGTCTTGAACGTTAATTTACATAATACAACAATCGTTAACGGCACCTCCACGAGGAGGATTTTCAGTAGCAGGGGCACCGGGCCCAGTGATAGTGTAAGTTATATCACCAACAGACTTTTCAACAACTGGATTCATTTTTGTAAGAATTGTAGGTTTGGAGATTATGAGCTTAAAAGTTTGGAATTTTATAGATTTTATTTCTTCTTTCTTGGGAGGGAATTGGATTTTTTGTTGAGATTTGAAAGGTCGCAAATGGGTGATATTTATAATAAAATACACATAAGAGAATAGTAATTATATAGTTGATCACAAGGTTAATTATATTTTATATTTTGGAAACATATTGTGCGAAAAAAAAAACTATTGTTTAATACTTAGCTGGCAAAGCTTTACATTATGAAAGGACACAATAAAAAATTGATGAATCAATTTATGGAACAATAATCACATTGACTCAAAACTGGGGCAATTAAGTGCATGGTTTCTTGAAAATATTAAATTACACCAAGGTAATGTTTAACTTTCTGTAAGATTATGTTGAATGCAAATTAATATGACGTACGTAACAGCACAATCTGACAATATGCGACATTTTGCATTCTTTTCCTTTCATTATTTCTTTTTCACAAAGAATTTAAGACAAGTTAATAGCTCTAATTCACAAGGTTTTACTAATATAATTTACAAGTTTCATCATATAATTTCATTGTATTAACCTATGCGTGTGCACTAAACTTGGAAATAAAATGAAAAATATTGTAAAGTCAAGTGAATTAGGGATAAAATGTAGACTTATTTTACACATTACATTATCTCAATTATTTCGTGCGTTAATATTGTCTCAGATTAACAGACCGAAAACTTCTCCGATCTCAGATGAAAGGAGGTTACATTATCAGTTATGTATGATATTTAATTTACGATCATTGATCAATAAATAGGTAAGTAGCACCTTTGTTGGCTAAGAATGCAATCGATAGTGCTTTATCGGTGGAAGTCAAAACGTACAACTAGAATTACATGAAACAAGAACAATAGTACAGTAATATTATTCGATTGGTATTATTTCAAGATTATGATCGGCGGTATAACAAATTGTTACGTACATAGCATTTATTAATTTACTAATATAGAAATGACAAATGCGCATTCATATATAATAGGTCACATAATTAACATCCTAGTGCAGCATAATTAGATTCATTGTTTATTATTCTGGGACTATATACCGGTAATTGTAATTGTTTTATTATCGATATCATTTACATTTCGGAACGGATTAACTTCTTTTTCATGTTGTATGATGTTGTACGACGAATAAGAACAAATACTGTATTGTATTGTACGTACTGTATTTTGCAGAATCCGCAGTCAAATAATGATTGCAAAGTTTATTGTTGACTCGATTCAAAATCGATATGCAGCAAGCGTTACATTGAAATTTCTGGTTAGAGATAAACAAAAGCCTGCATAGAAATTTCTTAATACAATGGTAGCCTTTAAAGTAGGGCTAAAGTGATGTCATTAGCCAGTCTTGTATTATGTAATTTTTCTTGACACGAAAATTAATATTTTATTAAAGACCGTGTGTTAAACGGTTCGTTCATTGGTAATTGTCACATCTTTTATTATATCATTTATCACATCACGTAATAAATAACATAATAAAGGGATGTGGCAATTACCAATGAACAAATCGTCTAACACTGATTAAAGATATTACTGTTTATAATTAAAGAATAAAAAAGTCTACTATAATGCGAAACATTTAAATTAATTTAGAAATGTTATAATTTCAGTCTTCGAAAATGAAAATTTCCATTACAGTATTTTTTTCCCCTCAATGAATAAGAGCAAATTCGTAAAAAAAAAAAAAAGAAAAGAAGTATTAATTTATCGTCTTATTCGGGATCATAAAACATTGCAATTTTTTTATTTTATTTATTTATTTGAGATCATAAAACATTGTTTTTTTTTTTTTTTTTTTTTTAACTGTTGATCGAAGTATTACAATTTTGGCGCTTTGAGACGATAAAGTTCAATTTCCATTATCTTCAAAATTTAGCATTCAACCAATCAATCATATCTATTACGTATACGTGCATTT